ATGAAATTAAAAGTTTTCTGCACAACAAAAGAAATGGTCTCTAAATTGAAGAGACCACCCACAGAATTGGAGAAAATATTTGCTAGCTATTCATCAGCTAGAATATATAGAGTGCTCAAAAAACAATGAACCAATAAAGAAGTAAGCAACAGAACTAAACATAACTTTTTCTAAGGAAGAAATCCAAAAAGCTGAAAACCATATGAAAAAATGCTCACCATCCCTGGACATAAAGGATTTCTTATATGATCCAGCAATACTACTCCTAGGGATATACCTGAAGGAATGTGACTCAAGTTATTATAAAAGCACCTGCATACCCATGTTTATTGCAGCACTATTTTAATAGCCAAGCTATGGAAACAGCCAAGATGTCCCACAACCAAGGAATGGAAGAAGAAAATGTCATATTTATACACAGTGGAATTTTACTCAGCCACAAAAAAGAATGAAATTTTGCCATTTGCAGGTAAATGGATGGAACTGGAGGTCCTCATCTTAAGCAAAGTTAGCCAGGCTCAGAAGGCAAAAAAATCACATGTTCTCCCTCATATGTGGATTGTAGACCTCAAACAAACTCAGTAATATTGTTAGACATGGGTCACACACTAGGGGGAGAACACGCACGAGAGGAATAGGGAAAGGATAGGAAACCTAAAACTTGAATGTGGCTGATGTGCTCACTGTAAAGGAGTAAATAAAGTAACAAACTGGCAGAGGCCACTATGGGAAGGGGAACAGGAAGTAATGAAGAGGTTTGATAGAAATGAACTGATATGGGTTGCAATGCACATGTGCATGGAAGCAATGCTAGGAATCTCTCTGTATAGCTATATTTATCCTAAACTAGCAAAAATGGTATGTCTTTCTTGTTATCTCTTATGATTCTCTTTAACAAAATCAGAGAAGAGGGTGAAACAGGTTCTTCCTGGAAGTGCGGGGTTGGGTATGGAGGTGGCACAAACAATGTATACACATGTACGTTAGTGTAAAAATGTTAAAATAAAAGGAGAAAAAAAAACTAAATAAAATTAGCTGTTTGAAGATCATCTGCCTTCCCATCTTTAAACTAGACTTAGAATAAAGTGCTTTAAATACTCTAGCTGTGAGTCGGAAAATAAGAATCAAAGATTGCTCCTAAGAGATTTAAAAGAATTAGATTTGCACTGGTTAAATGTTTACAAAAAGATACCTGTTGCTAATGATAACTTTGTACAGGTGAGTGTTTTCTGAGGTGAAATATTACCATTAGGAATGCTGGTTTCATTGCACCTCCACAGGGAGGATGGCCCTTTGTGGCCTCCAAAGGCCTGTTCATGCCTGCGGCTGAGGTGGAGCCCAGTGGGCTGAGGTAATTTAGCATGGTATTTTAAGATGAACCTGTAGTGTACTTAGTGAGTATGGGTCCTTAAAGAATAAGCTGGAAGGAGCGGGGGCCTATGTCATACATGGTCATAACCCCCAGAAGGGTATAGGAAGAGCATCTTCTCAAGCCTACAAATATTTTAGCCTTGAAATCCCCAGCACTTCCACTTGTAAAATGAAGCATTTTTTTAAAAGGGCTTTGTAAAATAATATTTGTTTATTCCTATATTTTTAAATTAAGGGTCTAAAGTATCTTCACAAAAATTCCAATTAATGTGTACTGACTTTCACGGAAAATCTTTGGCAACTATTACATCTTTGTATAGCACAAGCATATTTTTTCTTCAAAAGACATACTTTTAAAATATATTTTGCTTATAAATAGATGTTAAGAATTACAGATTTTTTCTTTCTTTCTCCCCCTTGCCTTTGATAATACTAGCATTTGAACTCTGAACCTTGCATTTGCTAGACAGGTGTACTCTACCACTTGGACCAAACACCAGCTCTTTTTACTATAGTTAATTTTCAGATATGTTTTCATGTCTTTGCCCTAGGAGGTTTTGGACCTGTATCCACTTACTTATGTCTCCTATGTCTCCTTCCTAGTTGGAATCACAAACATATACAATGTGCCAGGCTTAGAGGTTGAGATGGGGTCTCCCTAACTATTTTGCCTTGTCTGGCTTCAAGACACCATTCTCTGTATCCCTTCCTTCCTAGTAGCTGGAATTCGGGGCATGAGTCATCGCAACTGTCCTAAACTTTATAGTTTTATGTAGGAATTATAATATTAGGAAAGATGAGTAACTTTTCTTAAAATTTGATTTCTAGAGATGGTTAATTTTAAAAGTGACATTCTCAGACATCTCCAAAGAGTGTTTCTTCACCATAGAAAAGAACATTAAATGACCAAAAATATTCAAGAAAAATATAAAAGACACACCATGAATATCCCCAATTCTTTAATCAGCCTGAAGGTTGATGTTCAGGCAAGTTTTGGTATCAATATAAACAGGACTTTTAAAAAGGACAAAGAAAAAACAAGTGAATTGCTTAAACACCTCCTGATGCAGCAATGCGGTCACCATATTTGACTTGGAGCCCTGTGCAGAGTGCAGTGGCTAAAGTATATGGACCTTGAAGTCTGTGCTCCAAACCGTGCTTCTGTGATGTTTTAATTCTGTACGTTTAGGCAAGTTACCTAACATTTCTACATTTCAGGTAATATTCGTCTGCTCAGAAGTTTTTTTTTTTTTTTTTGAAGGTACAGGGTTGAACTCAGAGCCTGCAGGCAACTCTACCACTTGAGTTCCTCTGCCAACCCTTTTTGCATTGGTTATTTTTGAGATAAGGTCTGATTTTATACCCTATCACCAGACTGGACCACCGTCCTCCTGTTTGTGCTCCGTAGTTTATGTGGGATGACAAGTGCGTACTATTGCACTAAACTATTAGTTGAGATGGAGTCTTCTTGAAAACTTTTTGTCTGGGCTGTCCTCAAACAGTGATCCTCCTGACTTCAGCCTCCAGCATAGTTAGAATTACAGGTGTAAGCTACCATGTCCAGCTGCTCTGAAATTTTTGTTGTTTTGAGTAAGTTAATCTTTGTAATATTCCCAGTATCTGAAACAGAAAAGTGTCCAATAATGTCTGCTAAATACAGTAAAAATAGTACAAAGTAGAGAGAGCAAAGTTAAAAAAAAAGAGAAAATGAGAGACAGAGCCCAAGTGCAGGCATAGATGCACACAGGGCAATTTTTGCAGCATGTGCTCTGAAGAGGTGAGAAAAAAGGAGATAAAAGCAACACAGGAAGCAGTGAATTGGTTGTCTCCCTGCCCCATACCAGTTCCCTCCCTCTGCATCCCTATACAGAGCCAGTATCAGTGTCTTTTGAAATCAACTATCAGACTGTAAATTGTCACATTTAAAAATCAACTCCTTCAAAAGAGAAAAAATTATACAACTAGGTGGATGGAAACTGGCACACACTTACTTTTAGTTTAAGTGGCCTAATAGGAAAAAAAAAATTCCTATGTGTCATTTGGAATGGCTTTAAGACAATATACCCTGGATTTTTCTAAGTATTTAACAGCATAGATCAGAGTGATGACTATTTAAGTATTAATCAAAACAAACTGAACTATAGCCCCTAGAAAAACATCTAGGGGCTTTCCTTTTTCTGCTTTTGAGTGTTTATCCGCATCAGGCATAGATTTAGTCATTTATGATTTGGTCTGTGGAAGGGTAAATAATGGAAAAGCAGGCTGTTGGCCTCCATCAAGATTCAGGGGAAGATAACTATAAACACAATTAGAGAGAAACCAGATGCTTAAGAAGGCTGACAGAACAGATAACTCTGATAACTATCAACAAAACTCTTTAAAACAAGGCATTAAGAAAAAAAACTAAGCCTTCAACTAGAGAACTTTTAGTTGGCTAACTGAAATGTCAGAATCAAATCAGCACATTTCTCATTATGTTCTCATCTCTTCCCTAAGGGTTCTGATCTTTTGACTCATCAAGTTAACACTTGTGTCCATTTTCTGCACTACACTCAGTGCTATAATATATTCATTTATAGGTTGCAATACCCTTCTAAGTTTATGGAGGCAACTGTAGTCTCTAGGAGGGGTAGGGGATAGGACTCTCCCCCTGACTGAAAAGTGTTGCTTCAAGCAGTGTTTGCTGGAGAGTGAGGCTCTGGGACTTAGAGGCCAGCCCGTTTGACATCTTCTGCAGCTGCTGGGATTCAAGGCACTGGATTTGACTCTTCTCATGGAAAGGTTGCTTTGTCCTGGTCACTCAGCTGGAATAGTTGTTTCATAATGAGAAAAATTTCTCAAAAGATTAATACCTTGATCAATATCCAAAAAAAGATATAGATCTATATCCAAAAAAAGAACATAGCTTTGTGGTTCTACCGAGAGTCATCATCTAATAAGAGTAAATATTGTCCTAAACTTAAATATCTTAAAAAGGCTTACACTAGTTTGAGACACTGAACATTTTATATGTTCACTTGTCACTGGAATATTTTTATTTAATTCAATGAAAAATGACTCACATTGCTTTATGGTAAAAAAAAATTATCTAAACTTGTTCAAAACATATACTTCTTATAATAATATTGATAAAAACAGTGTTGTATGGCAAGTATTCACTTTGTACTATATACTGCAATTCTGTATATGATATCTGTAATTCTTACTGAATGGAAAATTGTGAAAAACATAATGAACCTTTTAGGTATCTCTGTCTCTCTTTCTTGTCACCAAGCATTATCTATCATAAGTGACTGTCTCTTCCTCCCTTGTCTTGATGAGGTCCTCATGCACACTTTCATAATTTACTGCTCTTTGCCTCAAGTTCTTAGTGCCCTGAGTGTTTACTGACCCAATTGATTAATTACTTTGATCAAAAGTCATGTTAATATGAAATAAAATGTTTCTACAGAGTAATACAGATGTATTTCAGATAGTTTTAATATGTCATAGAGGTAGTAAATTCTGCTAGTGGATTTTTCTGAGTAGTCCTCCAATTAATCCATAAATGTGGAATAGGCTCGATCACATTTTTTTTTTTACTTGAGCTGAAATTTTTCACTATTGCAGTAGACACACAAAAATCTTACCTCGACAGCAACATCTCCAGCCCTTCCTCGGTGAGGAATTTCATATGCCTCCATTTGTTGCTTCGTGAGTCGTGCTACCTTTTCAGCAAGTTCCCTCCAGCCTTTTCCAAGTTTGACAGCTGAAGTCAGAATAACAGCCTCTTGGATTAGATGTGCTACTAACCCTTGGCAATCCATCTTTAGCAGAGCCTGTGGCAGCAATTACATGTCATAACTAAAAGCAACTCATTTTGACTTTTTCCTTTAAATTAAGCTTCTCATTATGTATTCCAGAGTTTGGAGTCCTTTTTTTCTCAGCACATATATAATTGTGTTTTCTTAAACTCAGAACATTGATTCACTTTTAAACAAACTTGACAAGCAAAGTACAATACACACAATTAAACCAGAATTACTGGAGACTTAGGACAAACTCAATGACTAATTATAGAATCTTGGACAAACCAATAAACTGTATGTGTCTTAACACTTTAAAAATGTAAAAGGAGCAAAGTTAACTAGGTACTTTCAAAGGCACTCTAAGGTTCCATCAGTTGGTGATCTATGAATCCAGTGTTGATTATTCACACAAAAAATAATTTATTTCCTTACCAGAGAATTAGCAAAGGAGTTTTCTAATGAGTGAGAGAATGAGTGATGGTAAACATGTTCTATGTTTCATCAAAATGGTGTTTAAAATTTCCCGGAATCATACTTATTGCACAAAAATAGGGCATGCCATCAACTTTGAGCAGAGCAATTGATGTTTATAATTTTTAAAAACAATTAGCTATCTCCCTCACCACTAATGTGATTGTGTTAAATATAAATGTCAAGGTATTAAAGATAAAACAGTCTTCTCTAATGCAGAATGGAAAGCTATCAGACTCTTTTTCATCCTTTATTAGGCATCTGGACTTTGTCACTCACCATGTATGTTTCAAACAAATCTATCAGTTTCTATTTTGCATGAGTACATTTTTATGTGATAATATCTATCTCTATTTCTCTGTTGAAGTTAGCAAATAAACACGTTTAGTAGTGCCTCATGATTTAATGTCACCTTGAGGCTTTATCTACCGATATGAAACAATAAGTAAAAAATAAATTATCAAGAAAGACAACTATTAAAGTCTTTGAAGTATTTATTCCCATGAGATACACAACTAGGAGGACAACCCATGCTTTTATACATAGGCTATACTGAACCATACATTTATATTGAGGAGTTACGGTTTCAGAAGAAATGCCAAACTAGCAGGCCCCTGAAGGTGCTTCGAAGTAAACTGCTGAGTGGTTTTACTACTGTGTAGCACAGTTTCTTGTTTTAGGGGGTTGAAATATGCACTTGGAGTCATAAAACCTGAGTTTAAAAACCATCTCTCCAGCGTACAAGATTTCAGGCGTATCACTCAATATCTCTATGTAATGATTTCTAAATGAATATGGTGTTCATGCCATCCTATCTAATCCTATGTAAGAAATACAAAGACTAAATCATATGCTGGAGGGCTTTATGGAGTGTCGAATGTCAAGTACATAAGGACAGCTAGTCTTAATTTCTCAATTTGGTCAATCTACCTCAAACTAATTTATGGTACAAGTACAATGTATGCTTATTACGCAAATAAAATTTCAAGAAACAACTCTTGAACAACCCAAAGCTTAACTGCAGTCCTGTCAGATGACCAGTTCCAAAACACTTCCATACAGAGGTCCTGAAGCTCCACCTAGGCATCACATGAGATTTTTCTGTTTGCACCTTGATTAAAACTTTACTCTTCGATGTGTACCTGCTTGTATAATCTCACTTACTTCCTATAGGGCACTGCTTTTCACTGTTATAATACTATTTAATATTTAATGCACACATCATCACACTTATGCTATTTACATCACACTTATTACTATTTAATATTTAATGCATCACATCATTGCACTTATGCAATCATTTTTATGCCAGATACACATGCACACGACATTGTTTCAGAGTATTAGCTATTATTCAGAAAATATTAGCTATTATTATTATTATTATTTATATTCTAAAATTTTAGTCATTTTTAGATACATGGGTATGATATTTTGGTGCTTTATAAAATATTGAATTTCTATAGTAAGTACAAAATAGTTCTTTATAACTTTCCACTCAGCCATCCACTGAAGTGAATACTATGCTGAAAGCAGTTGACCTTGATAGTCTCTTAACATATGTGGATTAAGAAGAGAATTATCAATATCATTGCTTGAGTTGTGATGTATTGCATGCAGAAGAAGAACACTAAATTTCTAAAGCAGAAGACATTGATGATGTTTTATAAAAAGAACCACTGAAAAGTGAAACTCTAGCAATGGCAGGGGTCGTTTTGTTTAAGTTTGCTCTTATTTACTTTCATGTTATGGAACTTCTCTGATATTTTAAGAGCTGTCTAAATATTTAAGAGAGGAAGAGAAAATGTCTCTCAAGTTTTAGGCCCAGCACAAACAGGACCTTTAATCTCTCCTTAAAAGATGATCCTTGGGAGCCTATTTTCTGAGAAAATCAAAATTAAACATCAAGTCTAAAAATGCAATTATATGGTATTGTAGGAAAAGTTCTACATGTATTGTAAAATGACTTGAGCCTATTTAAAACTACTATTTTTTATTTCTTCTCTCATGTTTGGTAGTAAGTATTTTTATGTTAACAATGTCCTATCAAATAAGGCTAGGGTCATAGCTCAAGTGGTAGAGCACTTGCCTAGCAAACATAAGGCCCTGGGTTCAATTCCCAGTGCTGCAAACAATAATAATAATGATAACGACAATACTCTAGGATAAATAAATTACTATTATGAAGCATTACTCACCACAATAAGTTCATAAAGAAACTTCCTTGTGTTTCGATCTGCATGGCAATCCTCCTTTAACTTCTTTACAACATAGGAAACCTTTTCTGATTCTTTTTCTGCTTCTATTTGGTCAAAATCTTCCAGGGCTAGTTGTGAGTATCCTAAGACATCAGCTAAAACTTTCCAGTCATACACTTTTTCCGACACCAAGGTCAATACAACTGAGTATATATAAGTCAATTTTTTAAAGGGCAGAGCAATTTGTTCAAGAAGACTTCTGGTTGTAAACATAGTATCAGCCATAGCCATCCCTTGTTCTTTTGAAATCACCTTGATGTTTTTGCAATGCACAAGTCCAATCTTACCTCTAAGGACGCCAACATACCATTCTTTCACTTTGGACTGCCCAATGGCTTTTACTTTACCTTCTCCGAGAAGAGCTATTGTGTCTCCTTTGAAATATTCAAGTAAGTATTCAATCTTGCTTTGTCTCAGCACTGTCTTTAGTGTTACCCCATAGTTGGTAAAATTCAGTTTTTTGTTTTGGAATGTGGGATATTTGACAAACATTGATAATAAGGGAGGAGAACTGACGTCCTTTGCCTTCTGTAAATAATCTGGCAGATTTGAGAGCCTTTTCAGATTTGGGGCTGGATCAGGTGAAGTGATAAAGAACTGTGCAATGGGTCTACCATTGGGAGGCTCCACCTGAACACGGAAAACAAATAAGTGCATCTCTCTGTGATCAACTAAAGAAAATAAAACTTGTTGATGAACTACTTCACCTGCTTCCAACTGCTTTTGCTTAATTTCTTTCCTTTCTCCTTCTTCTTTGACTTCAAAATCAGAGTCACATGAAAAAACTGAAATCTGTAAATCTTGTGGCTTGTCAAGTAGAAATGAATGCTTTCCCCAGAGCTGAAACACAACTGGAGACATATTTTTTCCTCCCTTTTTGATATCAGAGATTGTAAGCTTTCCTGGCATATAGCTGTGTCCACAAACTGTGAAAACAGCAGTGAAACTCGGATGGATGTATTTGGGTCCATAAATTCCAATTGAGGTAGTTTTATGGATATAATCCCAAATAGTGGCAGCTGGTGGCCGAATAGCTTTAGCCTGTGCAGCAATCACTATATACATCACCTGATGCAAGTCGATTAGCTTGACTTGGATGGTGTCTTTATAAATATAGCAGTTGTTTAACACTCTGAAAGGGCCCTCTTTAACCAGGCTGTGTAAACACACCATTTCTGTCATGACTTGGCTGAAAGGATCCTTTCTCACTTCAGCCCCAATTTTCATCTCCAGCAAAATAGCTTCCATTGTATTAAGGTTGCTTAGCATGATTTCCAACAGAGGGCTTACAGTGCATGAAAGATCATGGTTAAGCATTTGTGGAGGATCCAGGAAAGCCCTTAGAGATACCTCTTGGAACTCTCCCACAGCTATATGACCTTGGGGCACATGAACAGTGATATCTGACTCAGGTAATTGTACTGACCCTCCTTGGTGGTTTAATTTACAAACTATATTGGTCTCTGCAACTTGTGTTTGGGCCCATCCAGGACTCTGGTTAATTGTATTCAAATCCAAGCAGGAGCGTGCCAGCTGGCGTTGACTTAACCATGCCATTTTATAAGCTTCTCGGTCATTTTGAAGCCATTCTAAGTCTTGTACTAGGATCTGGTCGGAGTTATGTGTGTTCTGATGAGCATGTCTTGTGTCATCTAAAATGTCCAGAAGTTCTGAAACACTTTTAGATCTTCCCGATTTCCTTGAAGAAGACTGCCCAAGCAACTGATGCATATCAAGTTCATCACCAGAGGAATCAAAAGAATTTGTAGTTTCTATTTCTCTTAGAAACAGAAAAGGATCTTCCTTTAAGATGGAAATATTATCTCTCCTCTGGTTATTTCTAAGCTGAGTTATGTCATCTAGAAATGGGTTAGAAGCAGACAGTTCATTCCAGAATGGATTTCCAGTCATGGAAGCATCATTACCATGAAGAGTAGAAGCATCTGGCCAGTTGTGAAGCAAACCTGGATCTTGGCATTCTTATTATTTAAACAAAAACAAAATGAAACAAAAATGGATTAATTTTTTCCATAGCTTAAAAATTCAAGGCTCACTTTTCATGTTGCTTTCTGATTATCAATCTACTTGCTGCTACAAAATTTTAAATTAGACCAATTGAGCATAGTGAGGCAAGAGAAATTTTGATCATAGGTACATTCATTTTTATCTTAAATCATGAGATATAAGCTAAACAAACAAATGTTGAACACAGTAAATAATAATTTATGACAATATATCCATAGCATAATATATTTAACATATATTTATTACTTAATGTTTTATTTTTCCAAAAGATAATTCTGACCAAACAATTATTCAGAATTTTCAAAATATAGAATAGTTAGTTTCCTTGTATCTAGATTATCAATTTAATGGTTTCTTTTCAGATAATTGTTAATATTAAGTATCAGCATCAAATATATCTATAAATACTTTAAAACCAATCACTTTAGTAGACAGTCATCATTAATTTATTATTTTCTGATAACTTTGTATTGATAAACTTTAATTACATTGAAATAATAGAGTACGATTGAGTCTACTACTTGCAGGAATTCATTGAGCTTTTGTGAGCTTGCGATGGCAAAGAACTATCTTACCACCAGGAATGGGAGTGCATTATTACTTTTTTTGAAAAGAGAGTGCTTAAAGCATTGTTAACATATTAAAATAGTCATAGTTCTAGAATAAGAATTTCTCTCTAGCCCATAGATTGAAACCATATTGCTATGTTTAGAGTGGCTCATACTTGTCCATTTCACAGAAAATGTTAGTAATGATTCTGGGACTTTGTGAAACTGTACTTCTTTTGAGAAAATGAGAGCCAGAATGGGCAACCAAATTTACAGTTTCTCTAGCAGAATTCAAGTGTACTGTCAGGCAATTTTGTTTAATATTTATAGAATATTTATTTTGATTGAAATGAATTTTGAGTGTTTTATATTAAAATTAGAAAATGCATATTGAAAATAGTAGTTCTTTTATTTACATATTTGTCTTCAGTCCTCTCTTAGGCTTAGTTTTACTCTGAGGACCAGTTCAATTGTTTACTATTCCACAAAGATTACTTACATGGCTCCAATCTCCAGAGACCTTTTTTACACTCCAAATAATTATATTATGAATTCATTATATTATAGCCTTACTGTGCTTTTTTGCACATATTTTCAATGGTACTATAATTATTTCTATGCAGTATAATATTGTTGGGATTTCATAATTATTTTAAACATCCTGTAGCACTCTCAGAGATATATCTTTGTGACTTACTGGTGATAGATTTGATTACTTACATGGAAAAATTACAATAGTAATAAATTCCTGTACCTGAAATATTGTGATTTTTTGAGGATTTCTGGGCTTCCATATCAACCAAATTTCCTTCAGATCTACTTCGTGCAATTCCTCCTGACCACAAATGGGTTCTTTCACTAATTAACATTTTTTCACCTGCAATGTAAATAGGCATTTTTTTTGTAAGCACACTTAGAAGAGGAAACAAACCCAAAATGGCCATATATACCTAATTAAAAACTGCATGTAAAGTCCTCTACTAGATAGGTCCTCTACTTCTGGTAGGATGTGTATTAGAATATCCTAGAATATTATTAGCATTCCACCAAAAATGCTCAGATTTTTGATTAGTCCCAACAAGAAATCCTGAGGACATATTACTGATCTCATAAAAAATAACCAATAAAAATTCCAAGGACAACAAAAAAGAATAATAAGTTGAAGTCAATGAATCAATAAGTAATAATAGATAGTCAATAAATAATACTAAATAGACAGTCTCTGGTGATTGGAAGACTAAATATCACAAATTTGAAAATTCTTGCACAACCCCTTCTACATATTCAACCCAATTCCCTATGTGAATGTTTATAAATTCTTTTTCTCATTTTTTAAATTGTATTTATTTTTAATTGACACCAAAATTGACATATTTACCACATACAGCATATTATCTTGAAGCATGTTGTTTTGAAACATGCTGTATTTGTAAATCCAGAAATGTAGAACAGAGGGAATGCCAATGCACTCATGGTGGAAATATTAACAGATACAACCACTTGAAAATTCCTCTGGCACTATCTAGGAAAGATGCTTATAACCTGGCACCCAGCAAATCTAAGTCCAGTTATGTGTTCTAGCAGACCTTGCATATGTACATGAAAAGATAAGTACGTAAGTTACATATATATGTACACATATGAAACCTCATAATATTACATTAATAAAAAACTGAACCAAACAACATATCATTTATGATATTATTCAATAAGTAAGTTGTGTTATTTTAGTATAACAAAATACAAAACAACTACAAAAATAGATGGATTACAACTAAAAGTACAAACATGTATTAGGTATGTTTTTCTTATTTGATGAAAGCCAGCTATTTTTACACATGTGATTTCCTTTAGCACCATACCAACACTGAAAAATAGGAATCTGAAATCTGATTTTTGGATAAAAATGAGTCTTAGCAATGGGAACTACCTAACCTACCAGGTCAAACAGCGATACCATATAGCCCATCAATCAGGATTCCATATGTCCTGCCTCAGACTCAAGGTTCCCAGTGGTACTTTCTCAGACTGGCCCACCTGCCACTTCCCATTTCCAGCTGTGTTAAACCTTGTTTTCCTTTATGTGTTGACTATTCCTTCTTCAACTTGATCCTTCCTTTTTTTTTTTTTTTTTGCCATACTCTTCATTCAAATTCTTCACTTTTTTCTCAAAGAAGGTTAGGTTTAAAATAAATCAAAAAAACTTTTCTTGTATATGAGAAAGAATATATTTTTAAAAGGAAAGAAATGAGGAGAGAAGGGAGGTGGGGAAAGAAGAGGAAAGAAAAAAAGAATGGGAAAAGAAGAAGCATTTTTCCAGACATGATAAATAAATGCAAAAATTATCCCATAATGTGACATACTTAAAAATCAAATGATGCAGTAACAATATTTTCCTCTGATGGAGAAACTATATTGAAAGATTGAGTAAAAAGCTGAATTATGCAATATGCAAATTGCACTAAGACCTCAAGTTTCCTGGCAGCTCTTTAAAAATTCTGTGGTTAATTTTTACCAAATATGATGTCTAAAAGTAAAAGTCCTTAGCACATCTCAAAACTCTGATGTAGCAATACTGATCTTGAGTCCTTCAGCAAAATTTAGCCAATCAAATTAGAATGAGAAAAAAATTAGTTAAATAGTATAGTATTTTTAAAGGATAAAATTTATTTTAAATAGAAAATCAATTTTGCAATCTACCTAAATTCATTTCTTTTAGAGAAAAGAGCAACAATGAAAAGTTTACACCCAGGAATCCCTTCAAGCAAATAACCATTGGTGTAAAATGTAGCTATTTTCCAGTGAAATAAAAGTAGAAGTCCACAACCACATAAAACCAGGATTGGTGCCTTAGGCAGCTGTGATCCAACAGGACCAGAACTCTCAGAAACAAAGGCACAAAGTAGTCACTGGTTGTAATTCTTTGTTGATTAGCCCCTCTCCCCAATCACCTGAGTTGTTCTTCACCTTCCCCAAAAGTGATTGTTGTTCTATACCTGTACCAGAATCAACTGTTTAACAAAACACAGGTTGCCAGGCCACCCCAATGTTTCTAATCCAGAAAGACTGGGGGTGGGTTCAAGAATTTGTATGCTTAACAAAATTGCCAAATGATGTTAATGCTGTGGTTTGGGGAGCACCTTCTGAGAACCACAATCTGAAAACCATTGCAATGAGTTTTTTCCCTGGCTAACTACTTTCCCTGTTTAATCCTGAAAGGAATATGAGGTTTCAGCGGGCCCCAACCCCCTTGTTGGAGAAACCAGTACCAAACACCCGTGTAGATAAGATATAGAATGTGAGGAATGCAAGATGTGAGGTACGAGCAAGATGTGAGGTACGAACAAGATGTGCGGTACGTGCAAGATGTGAAGTACGTGCAGGATGTGCTCTGCCTGCTTATCTAATGTTGATAACAAAAATATGCACGCCACTGCAGTCTATATAAGACTTCCCCCTAAGAGGCTCAGGGTCTTGCTTTCCTAACCGGTCCTGCGTGTCCGTGTGGGAGCTCGACCCTGGCTAGCCAGTCCAATAAACTCTGCTTTGTTGATTGCATTCACGCCTGGCTCTCTGTCTCTCGGGGGAATAGGATTCCGGGTCCTAACATTTGGAGGTCCCACCGAGATTCCATTTTCTCCAGAGACAGAACTTGCCTGCGAGAAAGCAGGGGCAATCCCAAGTCCTAGGCGTTGGGAGGGGATCCAGACCCTCATTTGGAGGAACTTGAGTGTTCCATTTGGGCCGCGGCGGGGATTCGGCCAATCCCCAGGGAGATTCATTCTGGGAATCTCGCAAGGAGGACCACAGGGTCCTATTGGGAGAGGCTTTCCTCTCATTTGGGCTCGAGCATTTTAGGAACCCTGGCGCCAGGTGAAGAACTAATTGAGCTAGTCGACCGACCACCTGTCAAGTGGACGCCTTTCGGCCTGATATCCCAGTTGGACGGTGAGGAGGTTGAATGGGGTGCGCACCAGTGTGAGAGAAGGACCGGTCCGAGCGAGTGCTGGAGAGTGTTGTGTGTGTGTGTGGAATTATTGTTGCCTTTACCCTTTTTGTTCTATCTCTCTTGGTGTTTGAGTCTCCTTCCACAATGGGACAGGGACAAACAACCCCAAAGTCTCTGATCCTTTCTCACTTTTCAGAAGTTAAAGAAAGGGCCTTAAATGCAGGTCTGGTCATCAAGAAAGGTAAGTTCGACACCTTTTGTTCTGCAGAGTGGCCCACCTTTGGAGTCGGGTGGCCCATTCAAGGTTCCCTCTCCCTAGACCTGATCACTAAGGTTAAAGCAGTCATTTTTCAGCCAGACAATCGAGGCCATCCAGACCAAGTTCCTTACATTTTGGTTTGGGAGGATCTGGTGAGGAACCCTCCCCCTTGGTTAACAGTTTTTCTGACCCACCCCTCCAGTTCGGCCCCCGGGGCTAAAACCCCAGTCACGCCCGCCTTGGTCATAAAGGAGGAGGAAAAACTTCCTCTTCCCACCTTGACCGGTCCTCAAATTAGGGCATCTCCTTCACCATCTCCGATCTTACCAGAGAGTTCCCCCCTTTACCCATCCCTCGCAGGGGCAGAGGAAGATCGGCCGCCTCCATACGTGACTCCCCCTGGCCAAGCCAGTGCCCCGGAGGAGGAAATTTCCTCATCCTCCTCAGCAGGACTGGCAGCAGGAGGAGGAATGGGTCGAAGACTTCGCCCCCGAGGGATCCGGGAAAGGGAGGGGGAAGACGGGCCTTCCTCATCAACACATGGGGAGGAAACTGTCCCTACACTTCCAGTCCGGATGGTAGGCCAAGGGGGACCAGGAGGGGGGCAACAGTTTCAGTACTGGCCCTTCTCCTCCAGTGATCTATATAACTGGAGGACGCAGAACCCGCCCTTTTCTGAAGACCCCAAGTGTCTCATAGATCTCTTGGAGTCCATCATGCATACACACCGCCCCCACTTGGGATGACTGTCATCAGCTGCTCAATACTCTTTTTACGACGGAGGAACGAGAGCGCATCCTCAACGAAGCGAGGAAGAACGTCTTGGGGGATAATGGGAGACCCACAACTCTCCAACCGGCCATAGACGAGGCTTTTCCCCTACGCCGCCCTGATTGGGATTTCGGGACCGCAGAAGGTAGGGAGCGTCTTCGGATCTACCGCCAGACTCTTATGGCCGGTCTCCGAGCGGCCGCTAGAAGGCCCACCAATTTTGCAAAAGTAAAAGCAGTCATTCAAGGGGAAAACGAAAGCCCAGCCGGTTTCTTAGAGCGCCTCTATGAGGCATACCGTCAGTACACCCCTATTGACCCTGAGGCGGACCTCCACCGGTCTGCTGTGGTACTCTCATTCATTAATCAGGCAGCCCAGACATTAGGAGAAAACTCAATAAACAGGAAAACTTAGGGGAGATGACTATAAGGGAAATGCTACAGGTAGCAGAAAAGGTCTTTACCGCTAGGGAAACTCCAGAAGAAAGGGAGGAAAGACAGAGAAAGGAAGACAGGGAGGCCCAGGAGAAATTGAGAAAGGAGGACCGGGAGTTCCAGGCTAAGGAAAACCGAAAGCAACAGAGAGAAATGGCTCGTATTTTCCTAGCGGGTGTCCGGGACCAACCCAGGGAGGGGGCCACGCCAGGACCCCGGATAAGGAACACTGTTTTTACTGTAAGGAAACGGGGCATTGGAAGAGAGAATGTCCTAAGTTAAAGGGAAGAAGAGGGTTTGGAAGGAGACCGGGGGAAAACAGGGAAAGGGAACGAGCAGTAGAGCAGGCCAGAGTCCTCCTAGCCGGAGAAGAGGACTGAAGGAGACGGGGCTCAGACCCCCTCCCGAGTCCTGGGTAACAATGCATGTGGAGGGGAAGCCGATGGGGTTCATGGTGGATACCGGCGCCCAATATTCGGTTTTAAACAAGGCACATGGACCTTTGAACAAGGCACGAACAAGTGTTGTTCAGGGGGCCACCGGTACGCAGTTATGTACATGGACTACCAAAAGAAAGGTGAACTTAGGAAAACACCAGGTCACACACTCCTTCTTGGTCGTCCCTGAGAGCCCCGCTCCCCTGCTCGGACGGGACCTACTCACCAAAATAGGGGCCCATATCCATTTTGAACCAGATGGAATAATTGTGACTGATCGAGAAGGGAGCCCGATTCATGTCTTGTCCCTATCATTGGCTGACGAGCATCGTCTGTTTGAGAGTCAACAGGAACCAGGAGGGGACATGACTCATTGGGTAAAAAGATTTCCCACGGCCTGGGCGGAGACTGCGGGAACCGGCCTCGCCAAACACCTCCCGCCCGTAGTTATACAATTGAAGGCTTCTGCTCTCCCATTCGGGTGAAACAGTATCCTATGCCTGAGGAGGCCCGAAGAGGCATAGCCCCTCATATCCACAGGCTAATAAAGGAAGGAGTACTGCGCCTTGTCAGTCTGCCTGGAATACTCCTCTGCTCCCCGTCCGAAAGCCGGGAAGCGGGGACTATAGGCCTGTGCAAGACCTACGAAAGGTAAACGAGCGGACGGAGGACATTCATCCCACCGTTCCGAATCCCTATACCTTGCTCAGCCACCTACCCCCTCGCAAGTATGGTATACAACCCTTGATTTGAAAGATGCTTTCTTCAGCATTCCATTGTCAGAAATTAGTCAGCCGCTATTTGCTTTCGAATGGCAAGAAGATGGGGGCCAATCCGGACAGCTCACTTGGACCAGACTGCCGCAAGGATTTAAAAACTCTCCCACCCTGTTTAATGAGGCCCTGAGCCAGGACCTGGAACCTTTTCGTCGGAGCCACCCACGAGTCACTCTATTACAGTATGTTGATGACTTACTGTTAGCGGCAGAAACCCGAGAGGAGTGCATCAAGGCTACTGAACACCTGCTAACGGAATTAGGTGAGCTGGGGTATCGGGCAAGTGCCAAGAAAACTCACATCTGTAAAAGGTCAGTGACATAT